CTAATTCAGGGGGGGGGTTTTACTGTCAATGAATTCTCAGTAGCAGCCGGAAATCAGAAAGGTAGCGGTGTTTTACCTACGTGCCGTGGACAGCACGTAAAGCCGCTGGTCCTGTGTCTGATCTCCTCGGTGGTATGTATACCAGATCAGGCGCAGGACCAACGGCTTTACTCTATAGAGTACACTGCCTGCGCACGTATTCCTATAGTATAATCCTGTTTTCCGCTGATGGTAAGTCTACATTGAAACCGCTCGCCTTGACCAAAATTTGTTTTTTAGAAAATTATTTTTAATATTGTAACTTATATTATACTATTTCAACTTTATTCTGTAATATTATAACTTAGTGTATCAATCAAATTACGTTACGTTACGTACTTTCAACTGCATAATATTAATATACTTAAGATTATTATTTATTTTATATATTTTGGTAGGCCATTCGTATAAATTTAAACAAGAGATGCTACTTTGTGAAATAGTTTCAAGTTAATTTTGAATTTTAAAATAGAAATGTTATTAATGTATATTGTTATTTATCATGTATTTATCCAATGTCAATCTAGAGGTTTACCGTGCAAACCTTATCACTTTAATTTAGTAATCGTAAAATTTCTTATTAATACCATTCATAAAATTCAAGTCGTGCGTCGTAGCCGAAGCCGTATTTCCTCGAGAGCAAGACATGGTAAATCTTCTACATTAGCCTGGAATAGTCCGCGTGTTGGACGTGGAGCGCTCCCGCTGTAAAAAGGATTTACTTTATTCATCACGCTTGGCAATTGAGACGGATTGGTAATGGCGGCACTAAACCTATCGCATGTTTGACGTTGCTCCCCGTCGCCAGTCCTGGTATTTTACGCCTGGCGTAACTGGTAAGGTTATACCGCTATTTACCAAATGTCATAAGGTCTTTCTGTCATTTCCCGTTGTCGCCTGTTCGATGTTCACCGGACGAAATGAGATAGTGGATTTTTTTACGCCGCTACAACACATAGTTTTTTCTAAATAAATAGAACCAATTCCTAATTATTTTTGTATATCCTTAGATGTGTATCTACTACGATTTTTAAAGCTTTTTTGTCGCTATATCGCTCATAGAATACCAATTATGATTTTTTTTAAAAACCAAACCACAGAACAAATAAAAATTGGTCCTTTCAGTCAGTCTCTTTTAACATATTTATATGTCAAAAATTCTTCTTGATCTTCACTCGACTGAGACGGAGACCAAAAGTATTTTTTTTTAAATACAATAAGGGTGACAAACGAGCACACAGTCTACCTGATGGTATCCTTGACTAAAAATCAAAACGCGAATGCGTTGTCACCGATGAGGACAAAAATGCTCGTTTTCAGTAATAAATGCCCGTTCTCTATACTCACCATACGAAACAAAGCAGTATTGAGCTGCTTCCCATTCGTACCGACCCATTCGTATTACAATCATAATATAGCTGCAGCGTGGCTCTACCACGTACGAAAGTATGGCTGGAGATATTTTTAATGGGTGAAATTATATATATGAGTATTCAATTTTATATCCAACCGTAACATTTCTAGTGATCGGATATTAACAAATACGATCTCAATAGATTTGCAGATTTGTCACAGACGCGGGTGGGCAACACTAGCTATACTATGTTATTTAGTTTAAAATAAATTTCGCTGATATTTACTGTCGAAACAAACGTACTAAAAATACTAAATGCACAAATGCATATGAAAGGCTTTGGGAGTTCCAAACATGTATAATTAGTATATGAATTACGAGTATATGTTAGACAGTCTGTGGTTTGGTGCTTTATTATTTTAATAATAATTTACTTATTTTGTCATTTCCTTTTGTATTTCCTTATTTACAATCAACCAGGTTTTTCTATTTTTATGAATGTTTCCTTATTGTATTTACAGTTTTTTATTTTAAAATTAGATCTGCAAGCTACCATTGTAACCTGAAGAGGAATATACGAAAATATGTACAAGTTTAAAATAAAATATAAATTTTTGTGAAATATTAAAAGTCATTGTTTTATTGTATTTCCTAGATATTTTGATTCACAGATTGGTGGTAGATCCACTTGCCAATTAAAATGAAACTTTCAGGCATTTACTAAGCATACACTTTGTTCTCAGTTTTAGGACCCGTAGACGGTACTACGAAGGGTGACTTGCATTTCATTCAAACGAAAAGTGGCCATCTACAATTGATCTATGAACCATATATTTTTGTAACGGATTGTGTACGAAGTGGCCGGACATTCTGGAGATGCATGGATTATGGCAGGCGCTGTCGAGCCAGGATAACATCCAAAAATAATATACTACGGATCACCAACCCTGTTCATAATCACACTGAGAATCATCTGGAGAAAATTAATCGCAAGTACGAGCTAGGAGAAGTCGTTACCTGCCCAACCGTTTAGAATATAGGAAGCTTAGGTTTATCAATCTGATTGTCAAATTCGATAGGATTAGGAGTTTAGCACTTATTTAAGAAATTGTGTTTTTAAGTTTAAATCTTACTTTTGCATGGTGAAATTACTTCTTTGTTAATGAATCAATCCGTAAGACGAGTTGACTAGCTCACGATAATAGTTTTAGAAAATAATTGCAACGTTATCAAGGTAGTCTCCGGGCTTTATATCGTTTTGGGGCCTCTGCTTTCACTCAATTACTGAATTTTAGATTTATAAAACATTATGTAACGTGGATCATAATGTTTTAAATAAAGTAGTCGAAAACTGAATATTGGTTAACAACTGACACGTTATACATTCTTATTGGTAAAATTTTAAAGGCTTTGACAGGTATTGATAATGGACGAAGAATAATTACGTTTAGTTTGTATAAAATAAATGACGTGATTATCGAATAATCTAAGATGATCTGGTCATTAACATTGTTTGAATTGTATTTCTTTCATTATTTTAAGGTAAAATAACTATTGTGATCATTTAGCGTAGTGTAATAAAAAGTTTTGGTAAAAGGTTTTTCTTTTTATTAATGTCGTAACAATTCCTTTACGTTATTACCATAGAGATATTATTTATAGAGTAGATATGAAAGGTCTGTAAATTCCAAGTCGGTAATTGCTGAAACTTGTTTTTTTTTTTGTATAACTACTCTGTGTTAATATCTCAATAGATACAGCAGGTGAAGCCTTGGTGCAGTATTCTGTGACACGGCGTGGAGCGCCATGCCTTCTTGTGGATGGCTATGGATACGTGGCCCGTAAAAGACGAGGTGCGCGGGTTTATTGGTCGTGTCGTAGCCGCGCGTTGGGCTGCCGTGCTCGTGCGCTGACTCACGCTGGTCATCTCCTTGCTCGCCCAGCTAATCACAACCACGCACCACATACGCCAGCCTTGAACGACCACGAGCGTATTGAAAGCCTCATTGAGACCATCTCAACTGAAAAGTGATTGTTGCTTGATTACCACAGTAGTCCCAGTGGCCAAGTAAATCTACGGCTACGAACCGCCCTCAAATTGATTTTTATTAAATAATATAAAGCTATATGCGTCTTTTATTTCCCCTCACCATGCATGCTGTCTCTACTTGGTTACTAACTTTGTTACTAATGAATTTTGTTCGACATAATTCGCATGAGGATGGATGATGTGTATAGTGATGGGGGTGGTGTTTTGCAGTGGAGTTCGTGATATCGAATCGCGGACGACGGCATATGCGGCTTGGTGGCTTCTCGTTTTATGCGGAGAAGGTGTTCCCGGAGAAGAACAAAGTGCGGTGGCGGTGTACGCGGCGCACTTGCCGCGCCTACGCGCACACCCTACACGACCGTATTTTTGCACTAAGTAACGTACATTCGCACGAACCGCCCGTGACTGTAACGCATCGAACCATTGTTCAGACGGCGCTTCTACCACTAAAAGCTATGCTAAACGGATAAATCTCGCGTATTTTTTATTAAAACAGTCATTGCCTTGGCTACTTGCACGAATTCCTTGATTGTTAAATGTAGATGATACTCGTATTTAGGTCGCTTATTAACTTATACTAAAATGTCCTTACCACGATTCCTCTTTGCTCATATAACAGATTATGCATATAACAACATAGGGGAATACTAAATTAGAATAGCAAATAATTAGCAGATAGTGCGTATCTTGATGATGCAACGTCATAGATAAACAGTGACGTTTATGTTTAACTGGCAGTCACATTGGCGACTGCGTATGTTTCTAGTCAATTTGCATACGGGTTTTTTAAATGTTTATTTAATACAATATATGTCCCCTAAGGATGTTTAGTTGGTTTTGCATTATGTAGGGCCATATATATGGAGTGTTAGGGAGGGGGAGGTCGAATATCTCAAAAAGTAACAAGTTATTATTAATAAAACAGAGAAAGTTAACGTAGGTAGGTACTCTCTAGTACTCTACTTTGCGATCGAATGTGTACATTACATTCTAATAATTTAAGTTACAAACGTAATTGCCAATATTTAAAAAGTAAAGAAAACATATTTGTAAATTTTAGCAATAATAATCGAATTTGTAATAAATATTTTTTGTTCTCCATTGAGTCAAGAACGGCAAATCTATTGTTAATCATAATATATCGTTTTATAATTTAAAGAATCAATCTACGACAATTGTTTTCATGTAAAGTTTAACTCATCTTCTCTAACATTTTGTGTATTGACGTCAAATTCTAGTCATTCCAATTGTTATTTATTAATCTAAGTTCTGTAAAGAATCTCTTCGAATAGTCAATTTGTTTTTGAATATAAATGTGAGTCAAATTAGCTACTTATTGCTACCTATCCATTAACTTTATGTCGTCAAAGCTGTCATTCAAAGCGTTTTTACATAAAATTAAGTTCTAAATTATTTTGTATAGTCTGGCTAAGCCCATATTTATTTTCTATTCAGAGTTTGATTAGAGTTCCGTTTCCGTTTATTTATTGTTATAATCATTTGCATGTTAATATTACTACGGTAAATCTTAAATTTTACGAGAACTACAACGGTTTGATGCTTACAGAAAAATATGTGCGTTTGTGCGTGGGGCCGGGTGGAAGACCGAGGCTTTGGGTTCGCGGACGGAGTTTCTACGCGGCGCACACGATGCGATCAGGAATTGTGCGTTGGCGTTGCACCATGGGCGGATGTGGCTGCAAGGCCTATACACAGAAGGGCACGCTGCACAAGCTCGTTGGTGAACATAATCACGCGGGCCGCTGCGGTCGCCGAGGTTCACGCGCACCTCCACCTCCGTCTCCGCCTGAACCGCTCTTACTTCCCAGGATGCCACGACTCGACTTCGACAACTTCGATCCTAGCGCTTGGCTTGTGCGATATTAATATAACTTCCTTACGCCTTTATTATTTAAATCTTTGGGCACTTGACAAATCGTTGCAATATAAAAAAACACTTATTTATGTTACGTATCTTAGTATAATGTCCTGCATATTGCGCTGGATCCTTAAAACAATTTAAATTTTAGATTAATCCTTAAGTAGACATTGCGAGGCAAGTGACCGCGTATTGAGACATGTATTTTACTTTTAACTATACTCGTATATGTAAGTACTATTATTATATTGTTATATTTTATTGTTTGGTCAAATAATTTCGACAAATGTATGGGCAAAACTTTAGTATTAGTGTTACTTACGTTTACGGTGTGCACCAGCTCTTAAAGGGCAAACGCAAGTGCAGAAAAAAGTTGATAAGGGCCGGGGGGCCAATAATATTATGAACTAATACAAAATTTCTAATGTGTATTACATTCCACTCCTTTTATAAGCGTAATTTTAATTGTACTCGGTTTCATTTATTGGGTTTTATTTAACGATGACAAAATATTATCTATATCGTAATCTCCCTAACCGACCTTTCGGACACCCTTTTTACTAGAAACGAGGCATTCCATCTTAGTCCTCACGGGTGACAACGCATCTGCATTTTGATTCGTAATCGAGGATAGATGTAGATGTCTATGGGGCACAGTATCTACTTACCATCAGGTGGACTGTGTACTTGTTTGTCGCCCTAATATAATAAAAACTATCTCATGACCTATACATAAATAATTACGACAAATATTCGTGTTGCTTGTCTCGCGATGTTTGATTTTAGTATCTACGCGTGTATTTTAATGTACTTACTTAATAAATATTAAGTGCACTACAGTGTGGTTATTAGCTAGAAAAGGTTTTGTAAATTTTTTTTTCACAAAGTATTATTGTTCAATTTAAAAAAAAATGTTTATGAATCGAGATTTATTTTGTCGCATGCCAAGTAAATGACTATATTCAACACAAAAATAAAAGTTAATGTGTCATATTTTATTCTAGTCAGAGTATCATTTTCTAATTATGTCTTCAGAATTTATTGTGATAGTTGAATCATCACATTAAGATTGATCTCAACTTATTTTTAAGACTTAGGTGCCAAATATTGAACTTGTTCTTGTGAGTGACGCTTAGAGAATTGTTAAGATTCTTATAAAATAATGTATCGATGGTGACGCCAACTTTGCTGACGTCGAATAGATGATAAAATGAATGGAATATTTAGCGTAAATTATTTTTTCTCTATGTAATGTTAGTCTTCCCTCATTACTATTATACAGTTAGTCGATATTTGTTTTAACCGTTACTGTGTTAGATAATTCTTAAAATAAATTCCTGGTTTATTCTATTCACGTAATAATGTAGTTTTTAGGTTTAATCTCTTTACATGCTCACGTGAAATCTTTGCTCAGTGCCAACTACTAAGCTACTTCCATTTCGTGCCAAATGTTTTGCTCATTTTAGTATTCATCTAAGGGGTGAATGTACAAAAATTATTTCTTCCTTATTAATTAAACGTTAAAATCGCGAGTTGTGTATGTGTAAGTGCTGAATAAATAGATCGAATCTTACACTCTTTTATTTTATAACCTGCTAGATAATAAATAATCAAACAGTAACTGCGAATTCTTTATTTTATATGTTAAGTGCTTTGTTGTGATGATTTGTTACATTTCTGTGATTTTGGTCCTTTGCCATGTACAACCAATGCACATGAAGATGTAAGTAATTGGTTTTACACGGTAAAGTTTGTCTGTTTGTAGCCGAATTGTACGCTAACGTGTGTTTTTTCCACCAGCGCGCTTCATCCGCGCCGGCAAGGGGCGCCTGTTGTTGCACCGTGGCTACACGTTTCGTTTGAAGAACAACTTGGCACACGGGCGCAAGCAGTGGTACTGCTCGTCGCGCCTCACCTCACGCTGCCTCGCTGACGTCAATACCGAAGGCCCGGAAGGCTTCGAGCGTATAGTTCGTTCGCGCTACGCCCACAATCACGCGCCGCCGAATGTGCGTCGTTTCGCCGACGGACGCTATGTGGTGCGCACACCGCACCAAAGCGGGCATCGCGCGCCCGCTCCCCTTGACCCCCACCATCAGCTGCTGCAGCTTCAGCACGCGCTCGCGTTGTACGCCGCGACAGCACACGCCAACGCCACAGCAAACGCGACTGCAGCCGCTTCCGCCGCCACCGGCGCGGGCCCTCAACAGTCTCCGAATTCCCTCCCGACTTCGCAAAATGCACCCACTGCAAAACCCTTGTTGGTCGACACACCTTGCAATGAGGAGGATTAGGCGCTTTCTTATTTGATACGCAATCATGTGCTCTCTTTTTAAACGCAGTTGAAATTTCATAATTGGGCGAAAGTATTTCACGATTTTGACGACGATGATATATCGAGCAACCGATATATTCCTCGAAGCCTTTTAGCGTATATAATTTAGTATAAATTATATTTAGAGTAATTTTTATTAGGTAAGATAAATGGGGATAGGATTGTGTTTATTAAGAATGAGGCGATGGTAACGTTGGAGTTATTTAATATTGGTAATATGAATGTATGTAAAACCTTCTTATGTCAAGAATAGATGTTGCGATATCATAAATGGTGAATGCGACTACCAGTGCTTAAAAAACCAGTACGTCGAGGTTCTATATCGCGACACGTAGGTTAAGCGGTCTTTTCGAGGTCTATAATGTTATTCATATATAGGTGTGGGTTATTTATGGAAACGAATAGGGAATGTTAGGATGTTAATGTGTAAGAACTTTCTGAATGTTTATGGAAAGCGGCCTTTACACATTTATTTATTATAGCTGTTGAAACTCTGATATACATATGCATTACATTCCAAATTATGTAAATGTAAGGGGACCTTACGTCATAGTCTAGAATAATGGCACTTATTCCAAGAAAAGATTAAATATAAATAAAGTATAATCAATTTTGTAACTTGAAGAACGAACGATGACATGCATGAGTAAATGTGTACGGGCCGCCGATCGTGTCACCTGTATTGTTATCAGATATAGGTAGATGGTTATTATCCGGAATTAGACCAAATTACGTGTATGATTTCCTATAAGCTCAATCTATCTGGGCAGCACATCATAGTAGCGATAAGCAAGCTGGTCTGCACATGAGGTAGGTTAGAACAGGACTCGAGAACGACCGCAGGGAAGTCAGGCGATCGACAGAGAGCGCAAGTCAAGGTACAGCGGTGAAGACACCGCTGTCTACGCGACGGTGACTGATTTGCGGAATCGATTTGAATTTAAGCAATATAATATTGAATCCCTGGACTGCACTTAGAAATATTTTATTTATTTTGAGAGTTTTAAATTTACATATTCAAATATTGCTACTTAGAGAATTAGACGTCCGCCTCTTTTATCTATAAGAAACATCCGTTGTTGACGGATATTTTGAAATATACAATTACCTACCTTCGAGTGTGAATACTCTGCTCCCGTGCGGCGTCGTGGCGGGGGCTCCAGTCTGCAGTCGATGTATTGCTCTTAGGATTGATTTTTAAGTACTTAAGCTCCATTAACTACCTCTGTCACTTTTTATACGGGTTTTACAGAATAGTTTAATTATACAATTTTATATACACGAACAAATACTCAGAAGCTTTACTCTAGTAAGGTGTTATAGGTTAAAATTAGGTTAGGATTTATAGGTTAGTCGAGCGCGTCGGGGCGGTACGCCGCGCAGGGTCCGGCGCGCTCTATATTACCTCTACTATTGAAACTCAACTACCTCTTTGAATAGTTATTACTTGTACTCGATAGTTCTCTGTTGATGACTTTAGTATCTATAAATAACTATACGAGACTGTTGTCTTGAATATATTTTATTAATTGTTTTAAAATAATAATTTGTTGCTTGTCTATTTTTTTTTCAATGAGAACGTGGACCTGCTAATTTTGTATATTCTAAGACTTTAACTTAAGTACAAATTTTGACTAATTGTAATTGTTGTTTATATGACTAGGTCTTGGGGTCTTAATATAGAATACTATAATACACAATAGAATGGCTGTCAACCTTATTTTGTACGACGATAGGTGTCGCCGGGAGTACACATACAAGAAATTACGTCGTATTATCACTACTACAAACTCGATTCGCTGTGTTGGCAGACAGATTTTTAATACATACTTATTTGTAAATAGCGTGCAATTTGGCATTTTTTAAATAATTAGCATGCGAATTATGGAAACGATTGTAACGTCAAAACATATTTCGTGTTGATATTTATACGTGTGAATTGACGTCTTAGTGACATTTTAGTGGCTACACGGGCTCCGCCCACTCCCCCGTTTGATTATGTATGTATTGTAGTATTCTATGGGTCTTAATGTGTGTTTGGACGAAGTAGCGGGATAAAAATCTTTAATCAATAATTTATTGTAGTTTGTGTCAAAACTTTTACTTTTAAAATATAGATAACTATAATTCTTAAAATGGCAACTCAAGTGATTTTGGATTAAACGTTTTATGGGCTTAATGTTGTTTACTATTTATATGTTTAATGGAGGTGAAATTAATGAATCAGTCACATCAATACTGTTTAATGTAAAATCTACTTAAATAAATTTAAGATTTTGAATTGTATTCAGTCGTTTTGAGAATTATTTACAAATCTAAAACAATTTCCCGTTCTATGGCTTTGCATAAGCATCACTGCTAAAGCGAGATACATTATGACTTGTTTGGCCGCGGCGAAATTCTGTATCATAATTATTTTAGGATTAATATTTAACTTAATTCTACTTAATATTAAGGGAAATGACAATATACGTCAATTAAATGAAATACGATTTTACCATAGTGAATTTGATGAAAAATTTAAATCATTCGCTTTTGTATACGCGTCTTTTACAGTTGTATTTATTGTATTGAACAGTTTTGACACTTCCTATGATCATGTATATATTGTGTATCTAATGGCTATGTTTGTACTTTAACGTGGTGTGAATGAATCTCACAGTAATCAAATTTCTTACGGAAGCTTGAGAACCGCTGTCGCCGCGGCTCACCACTCGACCAGTTGTTCCTCTTTAACGCTAATCTATCTACCTCATTCACTGTTAACTACTACTCGATATATCCACAAGTCTTTTACCTAGCGTAATTTTGTATGTACCATTATATTAATAAGGAGAATTTGGGTTTATGTATGGGGTATGTTTTGTGAAATATTACATTGTACTTATAAATAACCGTTCGTTTTATTTACACAGTTTTGAAGTAAATGTTTTATTTTCCCGTGTTTTATTCACCGTGGTGGTGGTGCTGGGAGCGGTATTGGTGAGAGGCGGTGTAAATATTAAAATTCTGATAATCCTTCTTGTCGTAGGAATCAAGTATTTGAAATCGCGCCGCGGGAAGGTCATCATGATGGTGAACACGTTTCCTTTCTGTGAGGAGTCGAAGTTGAGAGACAAAGTTATTTGGAGATGCACTTCTAAGAAGACTAATTGTAAGGCGCGGATTCACATGTTGGGCACCAACGTAGTAGCTGTGAAAGGCATGCACAATCATCCCCCTCGAGCCCCCACTTCTTGATGCTGCTTTTTGCTCATTTTCGATGATCTATTGAGCTTAGAATTGTTCACAGAAAGGTTATCCTTTGATAGTACGAGGTTATGGTTTAGGTTTTATAAATTTAAGCATTTTCACAACAGGTTTTTGCGTAAACTTCATAGTAAAAGTTCGAGTTTTAGAAATGAAGTTGTATCTAAAGAAACAAGCTTATTTCGAACTTTGCTAATAACAGCAAAATTACTGATTACTCATTTACTGTTATTAATAATATCGAAATCTAAATGTCTCTGTTCTCAAACCGTGTATTCTCTTCCTAGAGTCGATTTAATGCGATTGTACCCATTTAGTAAAATGTATACGCCTTTTGAAACATAAATGCTACGACTTAGTTCTTGAGTGAGATTGTGTACGCAATATCATTGGAAGATTTATTGTAAACTTTAGCTCGAAAATTTAATGTTGTTGAGGAAACGATCTTAATTGTATCTGATAGCCTATATCTAGAATTTATATTAGTAATTAGTTAGAAAAAAATGACCACCTATATAAGTTAAAATATAAAAAAGAAAAATTTAAATCATTCCACGTAGTGTTTCCGCCGTGTTTTTATTGCAATTTTGGTGTTTTTGGTATATTGTTTCAGAGTTTATCAACGAATGTTGTGGCATATCCATTATATCGATGTTAAATTAACGTTCGATTATATTTAAGACAACGTAGGAGCCATTCGACTCATTCGTAGTGCGATTTACTGTTGACGATAATCATGTGATAATGAATTTTGTAGTTAGGTGCGCATATATTTAGTATTCGTTAAGCTATCGAGAAATTATTGCTATTGTAATGTACTTATGATGATATGGATGCTGACAATTCGATATTAGATTATTTATTCCATGTTGAGCATATGACGTTTTAAATTTAAGTAAACACGTGCCTTACGAACGTGGGACCACTTTCAGGTTAGTAGATTTAATCGAAGTAATGAACATTCCTTATTTAACATTATTTCCGTTTTACATTTATACACTTGTAATTTAATTCTTTTTATATTTGAGTATAGTTTTAAGTTTTCGTTGAATTATTAAGAGTATTACTCATTAAGAATTAAATATAAAAATATGTTTATATAAATCAGGTCTTTTATTAATTAAATTGCGTTACAAATTAATCGATTCCGTAGGAATGCAATTTGTTCGAACAACTTTTACGGATTTTATCGCGTTTATTTATGTTATTTTTAATACCTGACGTATTGGGGGCTTTCCAGCACCCATGGTGACGGTGGTCCCCCCCCCCCGTGACCATCGTGTAATCGCGCACTATCTTCAATAAATTTATATCTTAAACGCGATGGTACTTTCCTTGAAATAAAAGCTGAAATGTATTAACTGCGAGGAGAAAACGGATTGTGATCTTAAACGCATTCTCATTTAATGAGTCCTCTCGCCCCCGAGCAGGTATTGGAGTTGTTGCCGAGAAGTTGGTATGGTGGAGAAGTGAGAAGTTATTGCTTATCATTGTGACAATAACTATAAAAAACCTAGTTTTTATCAAAATATTAAAAAAGGTGGTTCAGTAATAAGGTAGGTGCGCCTAAAAAGGGCCGGTTCCAAATAGGGTCCATCTTTTCAAACTTCTCCTACTTAATACTTAAAACAAAACGGATACCACGCGGCCCCTTCCCAGTAACCAATCACAAAAGCGCACCGACGTTTATTGTTTTCGCGGTGACCATTTTGTCAGTGGCTCTGTGTTTAACCCCAGGGGCGGTCGACGTGACTCAATTTATAAAATATTGTGACTCAATTTTGCGTTGTTTTAGTTATAAAACCCGGTCGTTTTGTAATAATTCTGCAATAGTAGTGTAAAATACTTTCAGAACGTGGATTGACAGGGTAAGTTATCAAAATTATTGCTTTTTTATCTCGATTTGGTTTTAGTTTTCTCAGTACATATCTAAGTGCTAACAAGGTCCACTTGTTGTCTCCAAAGAAGGGCCGGACCTTATTAGGGGTACGAAGTTTTAAAATAGACATTTTTTTATGTTATTAGGAAACTCAATGACATATTTTTAACGAACATACTTAAAAATATGTATTACTATATACACTTAGCCAATAACAGAGTTTCACAACATGCTGAATAACACTTACGAAGCAGTGCGGTAAAATTGTAACGTCATGTAATTTGAATAATATTTTACATACGATTGCAGTATATTATGGTTCTATATTTTTGTTTTTGTTATAAATATAATAATAAAATAAAATAATAAATATAATGACAAAAATAAAATAATATTCACTGAATAAAAGAAGATCGATATATATATATATATATATATATATATATATATATGTATATGTATATATATTATATATATATTTGTGTGTGTGTGTGTTTTAATTTATTTTTTTATTTTTTTTGTACCTTTAATTCTAATATAACTTTAATAACAACACGCTTTTTATTTTGACACTTTCAGATCAGTTACTTAAATTCCCATTCGTTTTTACGTAATTTTATAAGATTTTATTTACGCAAATCAACAGTATCTTTTGACATAGGTATTGTTCATATATTAATATAAGTATATTGATTCCAGTAAAGACAAAAATGGAACCTTCGCAAAAAAGAAAACGGGGCTCAGGATGGTCTCAAACTGATCTTCAGAATGCTCTAGATGATATAAAAAACAACCAAATGTCTGAGCGTGCAGCAGCTTTAAAATACAATATACCACGGCGAACGTTGAAAAATCACATAAAATCTGGAAGCGTGGTGAAGAGGATAGGAAGAAAAGCTGTTTTTACCGACACACAGGAAAAGGAATTAGTAGAGAGAATTAAGAAGTTTTCAAGTATAGGCATGCCTTTGACACCAAAAATAATACGTAAACAAGCTTACTTATTTTGTGAAAGAAATAATATACAAAATCCCTTTAGTGACAAAAAATTGACTGCTGGCAAGAAATGGCTTAACAATTTCCTCGCACGAAATAAAGACATATCTCAACGTAAAGCACAATTCATGAACCCTGCGAGGGCTCAGAAATTAAATAAGCATATAGTTGACAAACATTTCAAAGCTAAGCAAAGCTGATTTAGATATATTTTTTTGTCCTGATTGTGTGTAACATTCGCAATGGATGTTAACTTAGTTTTTTATTTTTATTATTAATTATAATTACTTATTAATGATTATTATTAAGTACCGTGTGGTCAAACTATCACTTTTTGCTTTATTATTGAGCTTTACATTATTTGTCTGAAGTTATTAATTACTTTGATTTTTATATTTGTTATAATATGTTCTCCCACAAGTTTAATTTAGTTTTTATTTATTTGTTGAACAAATTATTAGGTGAAAAGTTGCCATTTTTTAATTTATATACGCTTGTTTTGATTACATTTTAAACAGAAATATATATAATAAGGATAAGTAAATACACACTGTGAATATATGTGCATATTTATCTTTTAATCTTTAGCTGCAATGGTTGCCATGTTTGTTATTTTCAAACACTTAATAAGGTCCAGACTATGATTACAGAAGTGTAATACCTAATAAGGTCCAATGACTAAGACTGAATAAATGACTGATTAGTAACATTTTGTGATTTTCTTTACTAGAGTAAATAAAAATCAGCATAAAACTACAATTTGTTTCAATTATAACTAGAAAATAGATTAATTATAACTCGTATACATTTCCTAAGACTTTATAAGGGCCACGACACTAATTTATATAAATTTCCGTTTCATTATTCGAAAGCTACGAACTTAATAGTAGTTTAAAGCCACTGATTTCTAAAGATGTAATTTTTCTGGTATATAACGCCTAAAACCTTGCAGTTCAATTATGGACCTTATTTAGAGCCCTAGTGCCCAATAAGGACCATAGACAAGCTTTTAAAGAACTTTTTTTGTAAGTAATTGGCCATTGGTGCTTTGTTTTTGTACAATTTTTTGCTCTTCAAATAAAAACAATTTACTTGATCATGATGTCTTACAAATTAACACACTTCCCTAAATTCATAAGGAATTTATTTGGAATTTATAAGGATTTCCAAAAACCCGGCCCTTATTAGATGCAATTACCTTAAATATATATTATTAATAAATGGATTATTAAAGTTATTAACATATTGCGTTTCATTTTCTTCCAGTATAATGAATAATCATAAACATTTGTCATGATGATAAAAAATGTACATAAATAACGTTCAGTGCCTGACTTGGAAAAGATTTGATATTTTAACCGATAGACCGGAACGTTAAATCGAACTAAATACTTAAGACCGGTTATTATAGACTATGGTAATTTAAACAAGTACGCGACGTTTATTAATGTAAATGGTGTCTTTTTTTACAGAGGCTTTCTTCCTACCATCCAGAGCTGGGAAATCGGTGTTAATTTTTCGGCGCAACAAGTTCTGGGTCAACAATCAGTATCGCGACAAACTGAACTGGGCCTGTCGGGATAAAGATACAAAAGGCTGCCTTTGCAGGGTTCAGACAACCATGGAAGGTCGATTCGTACGCGTTAAAGGGGAGCACAACCACGACCCAAACTTTACGCCACAAAATTTTGATTCGTCCGCGGAGAGATTATTTAATGAATGGCGAGCCAATATGCTCTTAAACAATGTAAAGAGCACGTAGCGTGCTGACATTAAGCGAGATTAGTTGTAATACAATATATATAATTGTGTTAGGACGTTTTAACCCCTTATCTATATCATCCTTCGTGACTTCTACGGCTGTGACGTTAACAGATAAAATCGTCTATTCCAAAATTAATACATTCCAGTTAGTTAATTTCAATAAAAAATGTATAAAGTGTGACATACCAATAAATGTTGGGTATGTTCCGAAATGTTTTCAGTATACTGGCGAATATAAATGACGTCATCAATTGACACTATATTTTACTGGCGTGCCGCCGCCATATTGTGACGGATATCCGGGTGTAATGAAACAATTTTTAACTGTGTGTGTGCTGAATGATGTATGCCAGAATTTGTTTTTATTTTTTCAAATACAAAAAAGATATAGAATAATTGCTGGTATCTCCATTAGGAGGATATAATGAGTTTTGGAGCACAATATGACAAAATAATCGCCAACACTTTTCCAATATAGCGCGAATGTATGACGTACATATACATATACTGTCCTATGTTTTGGAACGAATCACCAGTATAGCGTCGATTCATGACGTCATTTGCATTGGACAGTACACTGGGTTCTATTTTGGAACATACCCGTTGTTATAACTACACAACTTTAAATCAAATTTCAGTTTTATTATTAGATCATTATTAGGACGAGGCGTATTGAATCAAGTTTTTCATCAAATTTAATTTTTTAATAATTATCGTTTACATTCCAGTTGATTATTCGATTCATGTAATTAATAATACGTTATTAAATTGGAAATTCTAAAGTAATTATAAGTTAGGCGATGATATTAAAGTATAAGAAAAAACGTCATTAATTACTTAATATGGTTTTTGTATTAGGATATTTTTGTAATAAATAAATTGTGTTAGAGCTAGTATTAATTTGAATCCTAATTTAAATAAAATGAACCCTGTTTGATCTGATTACCACGTGGATGGTTGTTTAGTATAATATAAACTAAGCTGCAAAATGATGTTTCAAATAAAGTATTTTTATATAAACACTAATCCAATCCTTTTTTATTTTTGATCCTTTGTAACCTAAATGATTTGAAAAAATGAATGAGGACGTATTGTATGTCGTAAGTGTATATATATATATTTGCAGTTTATTGGAGCGTGTCAAGGTTTGGCAACCCTGTGCTGGTGTTGAACGGTCAAAGATTCAGGCGAGCAGGCTCGCTGCGTGCGGGGCGGGCCACATGGCTCTGCATCAAGTCGGATACAGGCTGCAAATGCTATGCGATAACCCACCACGGTCATCTCGTAGCCACCGGCAATCCTCACGTGCATTACGTCAAACAACGGAAGCGAAAACTTAGAAAAATAGCAAACATAGGAACAAACAAACATAGAATCAAAATCAGAACACACAAACTCTTTAACCTTAAAACCGATCATAAAATTTTAGAGGTTTAGGAAATGATTTGTTTCTGTCGTTAATCGGAATCCTTGCATTGTGATTATGTTTTTCATCATCACTTATTGTATAAATTGTCCGTTTTTTTTTTATAAAGTTTAAAAAAATACTGTTATTATTATTGAAAACATATCCTATGTTTTATTTTTAGTAAACGTACTTGAACGTTATGTAAATAAAATAATCCTGTTTTCGCCATTTTAAATTACGTAAGTAATTGGTTCTGATTGTGATACTAACAAAGTAGTTTACAGTTGCAGGCACAGTTGCGACACCGGAAGCTCATCCGACTTTGGGGCTGCCGTTTCCGTTTCCATGCTTTCCTGGACAATTTCGATACTGTCTTAGTAAACGTGGAAAGCCGGCAATAGAAGTGGGCGCGCATCGTTTCTGTTTTAACGGTCGAGCTGCAAGCGGAAAGGTTTGGTGGCGCTGCTCCAGGAATCCCCGATGTCGGGCTGCTGTTCACACGTTCGGCTTACGCGTTGTTCAGATGAACAGCGCGCACACGTGTGGTGTACGCGCTACACCATTAAGGCCTATGTTCTAAGTCGCTCAAACTATGTCATAAATGTCTTTACAGAAAACATATTTTCGTACAAAAGTTTCTCGTCTAAAAGACCACCGGCGAAATACATGCTCTTGACACTGGCATGGAGTGATCTCATTGCATAATAATCTACGTAAGATATGCGATAATTGATGTTTTGACATGAGAAGTTTAAGCTGGTTTAAATTTATACAATTTGAAGGGATGTCTTAAATTTTGCTTTTGTGCCTTTTCGTCGGTGGTATTTACGTTTTTAATGTCTGTATTTCGGAAGAATAAGGTTTAGCATGTTGGTTTAATAGGCTTAACAATACCTCAAAGAGATTATAACACGATATGTAAGATATTTTACTGACCTAAATACAGATTTATAAAGATATTTGCACGTAACAGGTTATCTTTTTATAATTAATTATTTATTTAGAAGACCATATGCAGATGTATTTTTGGGTAAGGTTCTATTTAATCGTGCAGCTACATGAATATTTTAAAAACAATATACACTCTGAGCCTTCTTTTATGGCAATTGAATACTTATCTAGTTTTTACGGGACAAACTTTTAGAAAAATATAGGTATACAATAGGGGTTGTTTTTTTCAGTGGGAGCTCAGTCTCAAATCGATCTTCCTTTCGCGACGAGTGGTTGTAGTTTTGTACAAAGTGATAGTTCTTATGATGATACCCTAAGTATTTTTATATATTCCTTTTACATATTTTTTTACAATTTTATTCTTGTACATAGATATGATTGTTGAAGCGGAGTTAACTCCATGCGGTTTGGTTTGGTTGCGATTTGAGAAAGTTATGGTTATGTTGTAGACGTACTAGATTGTACCATTCAAGTCATGAATTGTATACGATTTTAGGAAGTTGTTGAGGCGTTGTTAAATTAAGATTATGCATTTATTGAACGATCGACTTAATTATAATACTCAATGTATACGTTGTAGACTAAGTTTTTCTTCAGTGAGATATTTTAAATGTTTTATGTATAATTAAAACAGATTTATGCTATTTTTCTTTAAGTAAGTACTTAACCAACATATTGATGGCTTATATATTGTACTTACAAAGGGTTGTATTGGTGATAATTTTGTTAATCTAATAAACCTCGTTTACCATGAACCTTTATACCAGTTTCTACCAGTAGAGATGTATACGATTGTATTTTATAAGTTAACCTATCGAGTATTATTCTTGAAGTATTATTTTGTATATGTGATAAGATATATTATTATTATTATTTTAGCAAGAAAGTATATTATGGACACCGGTAGCTATAAGCGACAGTGGCTGGACGAAGAATGTATACACTGTTTAGTGATTATTGGTAGATGGAGACGATATGTCTCGTGTATAGGTACAAAGAAACGATTATACGATCTGAATTTATATGGATCTTTTATTTATAAAATTGTTTAAAGTTTACTTGCTGATTGATTTAAGC